TTGTCTAATGTATATACTAATAGAAATTCAACAATCATATTGAATCCAATAAATAAAAGGAAGTCGAGTTCATCGGGTTGGGTTGGGTTCGGTTCAAATAATAGTAACCCAATATCAACCCAATACATACGGTTTGACAATTTTACAACTCGATTAGACATCGGGTTGCTTCAAGTTGGGTTATTTCGCGTTGGGTTTGGGTTGGGTTGGTCGGATTTTTGAGCACCCCTAATAGACGTAAGAGTTTTGCCAACATCTTGATTCGAACCAGAGGTAGATGAGATTTTATACTACATCCCTTGAGACTTAACCAATACGCCACAACTCAAGCAGTTTCATTTTTTTTACTTGTTATGTGAAAACATATTATTATATACAAAACATCTTGATGACAATAATTTATTGTTCTAACAGTCTCGATTATCTTATACTTTTATAACACAGTAAAAAATCACAAAGTTTAAATTAGTAAAAAATGTATAGACAAATATACTGACGACTTGAATCCTATTATCACATTGCAATACCACAAGCAAATTCTTTAAAACTCTCACTTTAACCGGTCATGTAGTAGATGAAACTTATGACTTATTGTTAGTAGCTTTTTACATGGTATAAAAAGAACAATAACCCTTTTTAACAAATGCACGCCAATGCTTTTGGCTTGTACTCTTCGTAACATGTTTTTAATTCTACCAAACAGTGAACGAGAATTGCTCAAATGGTCCCCATTGCAATCAATTCCGCTATCGTCACCATAGTTATGCCCTCGTTTATTTAGATATCGATTTGTAATAAAAATCAAAATTAACCAAAGTCCGTCTACAAAAGTGACTTTAAAATATACTTTTATAAAAAAGTAAGAAAGAGAAAAAAAATGAAAAGAAGGTTAATGTGGATAAGGGACAAGAACAAAATGACAAATACAAACAACAAATGTAAATATTGTAATATTTGAGCACATGTTTTTCTAACTATTAACTATTAAAATTTAATTAAACCTTAATAGATTTAATAAACCTAATCTTGTCTTAACGTTACATGTAACAATCAGGGAATTAATTATCTGACATTACCAACATAACAACATGATATAATCACGGGTTTCATTCTGTATTTTATTTAACTGATATTTAAAAACATCACATGGATATTTTATATCAGTAAAAATTTATACAATAATTGTCGATACATTTTAATATTATTTAGAATGTGTTTGAAAGTACAAGTGATTAGTTGGTTCAAATAAAGTGATATGAATGCTCTTATTGTCTTTGTTTCCATGACATCTTCATACAAAAAGTGTGTTCAAAAGCTACCAAAAGCTGCCATTTATCGACAATATAATAGTTTCAATCATATCTCCGACGCCAATCCGTTTGACCCTTATCAACTGTAATGGACCAAACCATGTTTCAATACTTTAAGCAATGTTGAATCAAATATATCTAGACTTAAAAAGGATAGTTTTAAACAACATAAAAGATACATGGTTGGCAAAGGAGTGGAACGATTATGCTCAAATACACAACAGGTTCGAGTTCGAATCATGTGGGAGACATGCTTAAGCCCTCCGCTAGACTTAGCCACAGACTCAACTCTTAAATGTCTCATCACATGTGGTTCTTAGAGAGTGGGACCAATTTAGGTTGCTGGTAACGAACCTTTTTACTTAAATTATGGTTCAAAACACTATAAGCCGATCAGGTTAGTGTTTGTCCCACTAATTCATTAAGGGATTGTGGGTTGGATCCAAAATACTGTTTATTTTCTACGAAAAGGAAAGAAATACATTGTAAAGTATATTCACAAAGATTTAAACCCATGATATTTTTTTCTCTGAGAACATTCTTATCATTGCTCTGCATCCGAAAATGGCTATATGCATCCAATCAAAAGAATGACACTTTTAAGGATCGTAAGAAAATTCATTACATCACCAAATGAAAGCGGTACGAGAGACCATCATATGCCCTAAGATATGTATGCACCTAAACTTTTAAATAAAGACAAATATGAAACTTTTTAGTTGATTAACATATATTTGTTTCACAACGCGTTTGTTTCATATGTATTCAGTTCATAATGTGAAACTTTTTAGTTTCATTAAATCCAAGCCGTAGATGGAGAAATACCATATGAAATAGCACATGATACACTAGTTTTCAAAGTTATCATAATTTTATGAGTTATCAAATGAATGCACCAACAATGACAACCCACAAATGAAACTGGTATAAATACATTATAATAATCAGAATTAGAATTGATCTGTTTAATATAGAAATTATGAGATGATGTATTTAAAAATAAAATTGGACGATGACAAAACAATGAATGATATATTTTAGAGAAAGATATTAAAATAAAAATAATAATAAAAAAGGACAAAAAAGAAATAGACATGAATATTCCAAATGGTTGTGATTATAATATTTAATTAGAGAAAGAATAATAATCATAGAAATAATTAAATGGAAGTGGTTAAGCGTGGGAATTAAACATTCCTACGTGGGATTCCCTTTGGAATACATACAAATACTACTCTTCCATATCAACATTTCTTTTCACTTTCATTCGTATTTTACATGTTTTTTTTACTTTTTAATGTATAAATAAATATTTTATTATCCATAACAAAAAATATATACTATGAAATTATTACGCTTTTTTATATGTATGGTTAGGTTCACGTGAGACCAGGTTGTTTTCGTGAGACCTGTTTTTTTACACTTGAAACTTCACAACAAAATGCTTTGAAGGTAAAAAAACCCGAACCTTCACAGCAAAAACATTGTGAATGTTACTTTCACAGTGTTTTGTTGTAAAGTTTCAAGTGTAAAAAAGTGGTCTAACGAATCTCACAAAAACAACTTGGTCTCACATGATCCCAAGTTTCTCTATAATTGAACAAACTACAATTTCACTCTTAATCATAAAAGATAATGAATTTCTCCATCTCATAATTAAGTACATATTGATTTTTGGATGACTATGGATATCTGAGTCATTGCATATTGACTAATCCCATAAGACCCCTAAATTAATAGCTTTACATTTGACATGCATACATGACTCGATGAGATAAGACTAGACATAAGAGAATGAGGTAGACAAGTAAAATAATTATGCAAGGTTTTATGATCTTAATCTAACGTAATTTAGCAAAAACTAATCTTGTCTCATCTCAGATATTTGTTCCTACTATTTTGGTGATGTCCTAACCTAGTCTTAAAGACCGTTTCACGTACTTATCCGGTAAATGTTTACTAGTTCACTTACCTTACATGTTGAGGAAGAGATTCTTACCTGGTAAGAGCGACAGATAGAACCTAAAATCTTACCCAGTAAGCGAAAATGACAGCTGTTACCCAATTAATGCTTATTGGATAATTTGTTGCAAAAGATGCCGTTTTGGTGGAGTAAAATCTTACCAAGTAAGTTAAGTGGGAGTTTTGACTCTTACCCGTGATATACCATCTCCTCGATCTTTCTTCCAACCATTTGGCGTTTTTGTTCTACTCGGTCTTGCAATGTCATAGTCTTAATGTCGTAATAAATATTAGACAACAAGCTTTTGTTTTATGTAAAATATTGACAACGGGGAATCAAAAGTTGTAAATATATAAAAAGAAAAATAAAAATAAAAATAAAAAAGTAAATTATTTCCAAGTGTGGTTGTATTAAATTAGGAAGAGGGGGGCAGTAGGGTCATTTCCATTGTATAGGAATAGGTCCCCACATGATGACAATGAAGCATCCAGGAGTGAACTGTACAAACTACAAGGCAGCCAGCCCAACCCCCCTTCCCTTTGGATCTCTCTCTCATCAAATGCTATGCTCCCACCACATTTTTTTTATTTTTATTTTTATTTTTATTTTTTGAAATAAACTAATACATATTTTTATTACCATCTTTATTTATTAAAATTTATAGGATTTTCTGATATATTAAAACACAACCACTTCAATTATAAGAACCAAAAAGAAGGTTATAATATTATTAGTTTTTGACAAAAAAAAAAAAGCAATTAATTCAATTGGAACAACCAAAAGCATATACATAATCTCTTCCATTAAAATACAACAATTTGTGTTTTTCAAATCCAAATAGGGTTCATTATTATAAAGGTTTTCCAAAAGTTTTTTTTGCCCACCTAAATTTGTGAAAAAGTATAAAAAAAAAACATTTAGTCTAACGGTAACACGGGTTACAACGGTAACACGGGTTACTGGTAGAGTCCAAATTTCCAAGAGATACGAGGTCTAAACCTTACCTGCGATGGCTCCAGGCTATTTATGGTTGTCCGACAAATTAGTCAGTCTGCGTAAGTTGGTCTAAAAACCCACGGTTAAAAAAAACCTCACCTAATGTGAGTATGGTGTATGGAGTTCTTTCTTTGTCGTATATAAATATCGTATACTTAAGAAAATCAATGACTAAAAAAACTCATCATTTAAAAGTTCTATCTTTTTATATGTTTGGTTGGTTTTCAATTAAGTCATAGTATGGATTAATCTGCGTGTGAAAATTGAGAAGATTTATGTTTCAGAGTGTTTTTCATAGATGAAAGAAACACGTTTTTTTAATTGGGAGGAGCAAATTTGAAAAAAAAAATTGGTTTTCTGCATAAAACTGTCCTTAAAAAGCTTATTAAATGAGTCACATTTTATATCATTAAGTCACCACCAAATAACTATTACATAGTTGACCAAATAAACTACGAATCCTGTTAAACTCGTTAAATTGCTAACAAACAGATGTTAAGTCTCATTGTTTTTAGGAAAAAAGCTTTGGTTAAAAGTCTACCATAGCGGATGATCTAAGAAAAAGGAAAAGGGGAGGGGAGAGGAGGGGGGAGCAGGTAACATGATAAAATGAAAGGGCAAAAGGGTAATTTGAGGACCCCCACCATCTGGTAGCACTAGAAGGTCGCTCACACTCATCCTCTTCATCACATGCTCTCTCCCATCCCTTTATTCCATTGGTAACAATGACAAATTCTCTTTGGATTTCACCTCTCTCTCTCATCGTTTTCTGGTAATCTGCACACCTCTGATCTTCTTCTTCATTTGGAAATTAAATCCAACCGTTAAATTCTCACACCCCCTTCTGTTCTTTTCTCCATTCATTCTTGATAACCCTTCTCTTTTTTTATTTATTTATATACATATATGTTCTCCGCTGTTTTTTCCTAAACCATCATTAATGGCTACCACCACCACCGAAGACCATCACCCCACCACCACCACCGGTGGTGGTGAAGTTAGCAAGCAGGAGATTCAAGCAGCCATTGCTAAAGCAGTGGAGCTCAGAGCACTTCATGCTGCTCTGTTACAGAGCAACAGTCCTGCACATCTACGGCTGCCGTCCGCCTCTCCGATTTCACGGCATGCTTCTCAGCTCTCTGCTCAAGATTACCCGGTTTTTACCCCTGTAAGATTTTCCATCTTTTTACTGTTTTCATTCAATTAATTCAAGTTTCTTGATTGAATTCAAGAAGAAATATTGGATTTATTTGCATTTTATGGAGTTCATAATCAATTCTTGAAAAGAAGTTATCTTTGAGATATGTGCAAACTAATAATTCTAAACCAACTCCACTCCACGTAAACCTCTTGCTTCTAAAGTTGCCTTAATAATGTAATTTAAAATTCCAACTAAATTAAATTATTTTTGCCTTTCAAACTTGGATCTCAATTCATACTTATTTTCTACCAAAGCGTCCTTTACCAAAGATTTATCGAGTAAGTGTTTATCGGATGTTACTTGCCATAGCTGGTGGGCATGACAAAGACCAAAAACCTTATCCATGGACATATGAGGACCGATAATTTTACTCGGTAAGTGTTTAGAGGGTAAAGAACGATAATAAAAAAAATGAGGTTGGTACCCATTACCAATAAGCATTTGGTAAACTGCCACTATTAACTTTAAATATAAGCCACTCTTATAATTTTGTTTAAATTCTTAAGATTTTATTATTTTCATATGCAAGTATTTTAGATAATTAATAGTTGAACTTAAATTAAATGATTAAATATTATTGCATAATAAAACTTGGGAACAGATTATTAATTTAGCCACTCTATTATTCATTAATCTTACTTTTAAAAGTATGAAATACTTGATGAACTATTAAGATAACATTTCATAATTATAACCTAATCAAGGTTTTTATTTTTTATTATATTTTTAGTAAAAAACTTGTATGTGTTGAGTCAAACACAAACTACCATCATCAGACTCTTATTTTTACTTTTATCCATGGCGTCTGGCCACACCTCGACCAATTCTAAAGACGTTAAAGAACAATCAGGAAAATCCATAGTGACGCTGCAGGACTATATTCAGTCACCACTCATGTATTTCTTTTAACCCCATAATGTTTCTACGTTTGGATCAAATACGACTCAATCTCAACCATCTATCAGGTTCAATACCAAAATGGATCAATTTTTACACATTACAATGATGCAATCAAAGGACTGAGATTAAAACCTCACTCTTGGGGTCCCAATATTTACGACATTATTAGGGTTTTTACTCTTGGAAAGATCCTGTGGTCCTGTAGATCAAGTCTGATAACTCCATGTCATGGAAGCTTTCACAAAGTTGTATATATTTTTTATACTTGCTAAACATTCCAACCGACAAACTTTAAGCTTTTTGATGAATAACGTGACCTTAAACAAACCGATAGCACCCAACAAGATATCAAATCAGAATCATTCAACTAGTAAAACCTTGGGTTTGCTGCCTAATATTACTTTACTAGGATTTGTTTGACTGGTAATTTTAATACTTATGGGATTAATTGAGATAAACACAAGCTGACCCAGATACCCACGGGATTAATAGATACAGGTGTTCATAGATATTCACATACCTTCTACCCAAGGGATAAAGAAATTGTTTGTCTAGCTAAAGCCTAGGACATCAAGGGCCTACTTGTTAGCAGCTTAATAAACTTGACGATACTCGCAACTTATTCGGTTACTGTTTGGTAGTGGCTTAATGATACAGAAAGTGACTTAATGTCAATAAGTTTTTCCAAGGGGGCAGCCCTTATGCAAGAAACCAAGTTTTTTCCAAACCTGCCTCTCCTAATTAAAAAACACGCTCTTTCCAACTATGAAAAACCCTCTAAACAAAAACCTTTGCAATCTATACAGAACTCGGTTAAAAAAAGTTGAATACTTTGACTAACATCATACATACATAAAGCAGATTCTCTTTCGTTAAAAAAACACTTGTTTGGACTTCAAGTTTCTGTTGGACAGCTTTTCAGACTAAAGTTGCTTCAAAAGAAAGATTCAAAATCTTTAAAGCCTACATTAAATGCACTAGTAACAGAAACAGTAAATTTTTTATTTTCTTAGGTAACTTAACTGATATTACTCAATATTGACAGAGTTACGATGACGTACCAAGAAATCAAAGTTTTCCAAGTTGTTGGGACGAATGTAGCGTAAACGGAGGAGGTAACGATGATCTACGGTTCTTGTCTGATTACAAAAATCCAAATGCATCGTCAAGAACATTGTTACCACCGGAATTGATGAACATTGTCCCTCATACGTGCCCGTCTGATGATCAGAATTCCGTTGTGGCTTCGGGTCATCACATTACGCTCCTCCGAGCATCACCTGGAACTGAGTTCTCAAAGTCGAGAAGGAACAGTCTCGGTGATTTCAGATCAATCTCGTCATGCAACAAATGCAAACCTGCGACACTTAGCACGAATAATAATCTTGATGGTGCCAAGAATCATGTCAAGTACTCTAACTTGGTGGTGCCTATGACTGATTCACATTCGTCCATTCAATCTCATGCGAAACCCAGATCAGGAATGAGTCTTTCTTGGTTGTTTCCTCGGTTGAACAAGAAAAAACATAAAAACGTCGAGAATTCTCCAAACAGGATAGGATCAGAAGAATTTTCTTATAAAGATTCTGGGATAATGTCAATTGAGGTTTTGAAGAAAGATCTTATCGAAGCAAATGAGAGGAGGGATGTGGCTTTAATGGAGGCTTCGGAGATGAAATCTTCAATAGGGGATTTGAAGGAAAAGTTAGAGTATTTAGAGAACTACTGTGAAGAGCTGAAGAAGGCCTTAGGCCAAGCAGTTTCACAAGCCAAAGACTCTGATCATTCTCAACTCCATAAAGGGAAACCCATCGATGGAAATAGCGAAAGTATGCCAGTTACCAAAGAAGTAATGGTGGAAGGGTTTGTGCAGATAGTGTCTGAAGCAAGATTATCAGTGAAACACTTCTGTAAAACTCTCGTAGCTCAGATTGACGAAGGAGATACTACATTACTGGATAACCTAAACTCGATTCTTCAACCCCACAAGTTATCTTTGAATTCAAAGTACTCGAAAGCGGTTTTGTGCCATTTGGAAGCGATCATAAATCAATCCCTTTACCAAGATTTTGAGAACTGTGTGTTTCAAAAGAATGGAACCCCAAAGCTTTTAGACCCTCAACAAGAACGCCAAGCACAGTTCTCGTCGTTCTGTGCACTCAGAAACTTGAGTTGGAACGAGGTTCTGAGGAAGGGAACAAAGTATTACAGCGAAGAGTTCAGTAGTTTCTGTGATCAGAAGATGAGTGGCATTATTACAGCATTGAACTGGACTCGGCCTTGGCCGGAGCAGCTACTGCAAGCATTCTTTGTGGCGGCTAAGTGCATATGGTTACTGCATTTGCTAGCGTTTTCTTTTAGTCCAGTATTGGGGATCTTAAGGGTGGAAGAGAATAGGAGCTTCGATAGCGTGTTCATGGAGGATGTGTTTGTGGATAGGCAACGTTCACAAAACCCGACCCGAGTGAAGGTTATGGTGATGCCTGGGTTTTATGTGCAGGATAGGGTTCTAAGGTGCAAGGTTCTTTGCAGGTATAAAACTGCAGGTTGAAGTAACAAGTAGTAGTGTTAATTTGTCTTATTTTTTCTTGGTGGGTAATATAATGTTATGTCTTTGGATTTAAATTGCTTGTGTTGTACCAAGAGCTGAATACTTAATATTGTTGGATGCTAATGTTGATAATTCTAAGGTGAGGGGTATGAGGAGGATAAATATGAAATGTGGATTCTAATTTGTAACCTACAGGATAATAATTTGCATTTATATACCCCCAGCTCACCACAGAATCTAATTTGTTAATAATAACTATAAGGCCCTCGAGGATTTCCTTTAGTACATAAGAATCCTTGATGTTTTAAGAAATTCCAAAGATATGGTATTATAGTAAAAAATTAGCGAGCCTCAGATAATGGCCAGGGAGGCCGGGCTGGGCCCGGCCAAGCCAAGCCAACCTGACTCTATCTGATATCTAGTATGATCTTGGTTTTGTAGCTCGAGTAGCTTAGATGACCCAAACTTAAACAAATAACATCCAGCTAATCTATAAAATTCTTTGGAATTTTAATTGTGAATTTTTAAAGAGAGCATGTTTATTTAAGTTTCAAGGATTTACTTCTGATTTTGGAGCTTATTTCTGTTCAATATACTTCTTGTCTTGACAGGACTTCCCCATGTCTATACAAACATCTACGTCTACAGAGACCTTTGAGCTCTACCTGATCAATCGGTCATCTTGATCAATTTTCATTCTTAAGTAGACGGTTACAGATCCCAAATTGAATACAAATTTGTTGCTCCTATAAACAGCCAATAATTAGACTTAAAATGGATAGAATTAACAAGAAAGAGATTGTACAATGTTACAAGCCTCTCAAAGAAAGAGATTGGCTTTTCTTCTACATATATGAACCCCTAATATTCAGAAGGAATAAGTTTTAATAAGAATGTACCAGTAGCATCGCAATGAAAAGGGAACAATTCCACTGATATAATAATAATAATGATTGCTGACAATTTGGTAACTTGAATTGACTTACCTGATATATAAAAATTTAACACAGAAGCTAAAGTCGGTTTACCAAATCAGGATGTTGGTGAGCTTGGTGCAGCACTCCACCAAAAACTGACCGAAAGGCTTGTAGTGAGAGATCGAACATAGTGCCACCATTTGGGAGGGATATAAAGCATCTCGCCTTCCTCTAAAATGCAGTCTACGAATTCCAGGTCTTGGATCTTTGGGAATTCATTTGCATCCATGTTGTCCAGGTCGACCTTCAAACAATGAAATCCATACGGCACTTAAAGATATAGAAGTGGGTTTCTGCAAAATGGTTCTAACATTGACTTGTGCATAATCAAGGTCAACCTTGTGTGGCTTAAGAAAGATCTACCTGGCTGGAATTCTTCAACATGGATTCAGAATGTGGGTAAAGCTCCTCAGACAACGAAGCTGGATAGAGCCTGACGTATTTTTTTCCAACAACCTGAAAGTGTAGTACCCGAGTGTTATTAATAAAAAATATATTATACCGTTAACATGTCATAACATTGATAGAGCAATAACAAGAGTTGCTGAAACAGCCACACACTTCTCACAAACCGGGGTTCACGGAAACAGCCACCCAGTTCTGTGTACCCCCTCCCCCCCCCCAAATACCCTACCTCCGGGTAGGATATATTGGGTTAGTTTGGTTTGGTTTAAGATTTGCTGAGTTGTAGATCAATTTTCAGGTAACAAATTAAGAAAAAGGAAGCATGCCTTAACATCTTAATCACCTAGCCTCTCAGATCTCTCTTCCTTATTGTCTGAAACTGCATGCACCTCCCCTGTCTTTTTATCTCTGGGAGTGGGGACAGGGTTCGAGCAGTAGCTAAACTGCAGTTCTGCTTATCAAAACATAGCTTCCAAGTCAAATTTAACTTGACCTATAACGAAAACTTTCCCTAGGAAGCACGAAGCATAGTTATAGAGGCTAAGAACTAGTATAATACAATTTGTGGGTTGATGATCCTAATAAGATATATGCTTGGATTCATGATTCATTCAATGGAAAAATTACTGCAAGCTATCACAGCTAGTAGATAGATTCTTCAATGATATTCATTTGACATTAATCCCTTATCTTAGTAAGCAGAGATGTGCAGATCCATAAAAGAATTGGACCCTCTTGGGAATTTCTGTGGTCTGCCAATTCTAACTAGCTATCCATTAGGGTTATTTCATCATAATCATCAATGTACTTTCACACTACCTTGCTCAAGAACTCAAGATGTACATACCACTGTATCATCCAGTTGGATTTCTTACTAGGCAAAGGAGCTACAACTCAAGGGTAGTATACTTCAGTAGTTCTCTTTTAATATTTTGTGGATACCACAAATCTGATATATGATGATTTTTGCCTTCTGCCAATAAGCAATAGCTCAATGGCATGGCCAATCACAGCTTTATTGATGATCAGCCGCCTTGCAAGTTGATATTATTGTCTGAGCTTTCTTTAGGTCATATGCGTGGATGTATTTACTAGATTCTAATTGTTTTTATTTGTTTACTTATTCTTATTTCCCATAAGTTTTCAATTAATCAGGATTTAACAAATTTATACACAATTACTGAAACATCTAGCTCCTCAAAGGCCCAAACAATCTATTCGTACAGGACCAAATTCTAATTTTGGAAGTCATATAAACTCTTATAACAGCTCATCAGAAAAAAAGAACTCTTATAAAATACCTGAGCAAGAATATTATGGTGGGGGTCATGGTGTAATGGTGTCACTGTCCCAGCTGGACCAAACCATGCGTTAACCGACTTCATCTCAGTTCCACCAGCAAAACAGTAGTCAGGGATGACAATATCATTCCATAGCTCTTGTATCTGCATATTACGATGGAGGTAATTGATTATAAAGCTATCTAAATAATGAGACTTTGACCACCTATTGTGCATGATAGAGTAAGCACATGCCTGATCAAACAAGGGATGTTGGGCTAAATAAGTAGGGGCGGCAGAACTTTTGGACTGAATTCTCTCAAGGAACTCAGAGAATGTTAACATCTCTTGCTTCCAATCAGTGCATAAATAGTTTTTTCCAACCTGCAAGATGTTCTACAATATATTTTTCAGAATCTACAGAAGGGATCTGCAATAAAAATTGGTCATCAGGAGAGCTTAAAGAATGACTTGAGATGGTGACAAGCACAAATAATGAGCAAATTAGGGTATTTTTAAACACTTGATGCATTTTTTTATTTGAAAAGGATTATTATAAGTAATAAGGAATTTGAGCTGTCAATCTAGGCCAAAAAATGTTCAGTAAGGCCTTCCATGGACCTTAATGGACATCGACAGTAGTGTCCTTCGGTTTTCACTATTCTAAGCTAATAAATGCAATTATTGCAGTTGATAATTTTCCTATCAGTTGGTTGTCAGTTGATTCTCAGTTGAGAGATTGTTTGTCCAGTCAATTGGTAATCGGTCAGTATGGCTCTCAGTTGCATGTGATTTGGCTATCTGATATTGTTTCATTATGTATTAGCTTTCCAGATTAATAAATGTTCTGACCGTTTTAGAAAAGTAAAAAGAAAATGCACACAACTTGTTCGATGCTTGACAATCCATTTTGTGTGTATACAAAGGAATCTGTTAGTAGCAAGTACTCTGTCATGGAGTTATCTCTCGGGATGTCACAGGTCACAACTAGATGTGGAACATTTTGCAGCCAACTCATCTTTGCAACCATTAATGTTGTGGTTATCCCTTCTTGTATAGATCGGATAAGTGTTGAACCTCATACATCCATTTCCCTGGTATCTTCAACAATCTACCATACTTCCAACCATGATGCAACTAGTTTTTCGCTAGAGGTGAAATGGTTATGCATAACAAATGGAAGCAGAATTGAAAATTTTAAGAAAACCAAACCAATGTAATATCTGTTGACTGAAGATATACATCACCTCGACGGGAACTGTGCGGTAGCCAGCAACCTTTTTAAGGTAATTCAAGTCATTCCACTTGGTCCTAGCCGGCCAATGAGTCATACTATCACTTAACAAAACTGGTGAACCCGAGAGGAAATAGTCACGCATAAATCCCTCCAATGAAAGGGCAGATCTCTTCCCAACAAGTTTACAAGACAATGACCTCTTGGGTAAGCTTTGAACGACCTACACGTTTAATGCAACACATCAGTGTGAAATTATTTTGGTCTCTTGTCCACGATTGTGCATATCATCTAAAGTAGTAGTCTTAAACATGTGTCATCAAAACAGACTTGCAAGTAAATGCTAACAAAAATATGATACATGGGATTCATCAATTGATGGGTCATTGGTCTAGAAGTATGAACTAAGCACTGAAAGCTAAATCGTTATTTCACTTCCATGTTCACAATTTAAGCAAATAAGCACTTGATCACTGAAGGGGTGAGATAAAAGGAAAGGGGAACCACAAGGGTGGTGCTTGATTGGTTTAAGCTTGGGCTCCAAAGGTCAAAAGTGTCTGGAGGTCCCAGGTTCAAATCCAAGGAGGAATAAAAATCCCCTTGTGACCACGGAGGTTCAAATGCGGTGACTACGGGCTACCCGCAAAGCAAGTGGTTGCTCTGGGATTAGTCGGCTCGCCTAGCGGGTTGGATATCCAAGTTAATAAAAAAAAAAGAGGAAAGGGGAGAGACTTTACCTCCAGGCTATCTCATTTGTTTTGTACGCAAGAGAAAAATTACATGCAATTTTGTGACAATCATTCCTATAAACAATGTTGTAAGGTGAGAAAAGATACGCTATTGCTATGACCAAAATCCTCCCTTAAACCATCTTAGGGGAGCTGTAAGACAATATGGTGAACGACAAGAGATCCAAGCAAATGGAAGTACAAAACCTAGAAACTGTCAGCCTATGGGATATAAATGATGTTCAATTTGACCTCCAAGCTGATGTTTTATTTCTTAAGACTGGATTTTGACCTCAATAAGCAACATGCCAGTTAATTGTTGCGAAACGAGCAGCTACTCATTTCCCACATTTGTCCTGAATTTCCATTTATCCTACAAATAGAATCGATTGGAACAGAGAAGAGTTATTAAAACTTGTAAATGTTTACACCCAGCATAATTGAGTCTGTCCTTACATAGTTCGCCAAGCATTCACACTGTTCTTCTCTTTTGTCGAGAGGTGCACCATAGCATAAACATCAGTCTGATATACATAGGTAGTTCAGACTTGAGTTATAATAACAGGATTGTCAAATTTTTGCATATTATGAGGAAGGGAACATGCAACGTTTTTTGGGTTAGATAAGATGGCACATATATCATCATGCATGGAGTGCAGCAGTAGATCGACGGGGTACAGCAAGATATAGGAACTATAACAAAAGAATAAGAAAACCCACAGCATCACTTCAAGGACTGATTTGAACCACGGGTAAAACTAATGAATCCAGCTTTTTACACTTCAAAACAGGGAAACCTAAGCGACCTTCCTCCTATCTACAATCTGTTCACTTTCAAACCGTCTGAGCATGATGTCCGATCAGAACGTTAACACTCTTGCCATCTTCACTGTTTGCTGATAAATATATCATCCAGACAGGTAAAACATTACTTAGCAATCAATGCACATAGTTCCATTAACTAAAACTGTACTGGTTGACGTATGAGTATCGCCATTTTTCTTTTTATTAAGCAAATGCAATCACAAGTTTTCTTTGAATTACCAGAAAATGGATGGAAATCTTCTGGGGAAAATAATGATGTTTCCTCAAACTCCCCATATTACTTAGAGAGGGATGGTATTTTTCTTAGCTTAAAGCCTACTGGAAAGTGTATTTTCAAAATCGCTCCTATTGTGTCTATCTATCTCCGTGTTTGTAAATATCATGCTTCTCCTGCCTCAGTAATAACAAAGCTAGTCTAATTTTCGTCAAATCCACATGATGGAGGTAATACAATCTATAAACTGGATTTCCAGACATCTAATAATGTCGGCCCAGGTCAGATATTAAACAATAAGGCAGACTTTGTCAGAGACTCAGACTGCATAGAGAAGTTCAATAAAATGTAGATTTCCATGAAGTGTTACATTTTACAAGTTTTAAACACATGCTATTGAACATGGCCTCCTATGAATATATAAGTTTATATGCACATTTATTTTTGCCCTAATACAACCATCTCCTTCACCCCTAACTATGTGGTTTCACCACAGATCATGTTTGGTGGGATGGAGCAGAAGTCCTGACATTTGCAAGGGCGATATGTCGACATCCCATCATTTCTCTCCTATTTCCTTCCTGTATGATGCGCCATGAGTTAAACATTAACATAACAAAAATAATTGGGGGATACTGTTGCAATATAAAAATTCATTATTACGTAGGGAGCTCAGATGATGATCCCCAGGCATCATTACAACACCAGAAACAAACGCTATTCAAAAGACAAGTTACGCAAGATTGTAACCTACAGTTACTGAATAGCATTTATAAGGAAAAGGACATAAAAGTTGCAATTTACCTCAAAAAATCCAATTAACAGGGGAAAAATTATGATCATATTATGCAGCGATTTCAATTATCCACTTATTCTCACAAACAGCAAGGTGTATAATAACTCTACTCACAACTAATTTGACACGCTCAGGGTTAAGTAATACTCACCTCCATCAAGTTAATTGCATTTTGATTTGTTAGCAATTTAGCATTAGCAGAGCCATTAACAGATTCTTCCGAAACCCTAAGAAGAGCATTCGCTCTCTCCGTCGCCTTTTCCACAGCCGAATCCAAATCCTTACGCAAAACCATCCCTCCCATTATCAATCCCATATCTAAAACCCTAAGCGCCTCTCTGAAGTCACCATTAGCATAATGAAATTTGGCGACGTGCAAACACGCCATCGAGTACGCGTCTCTCCACACAGGCAGCACCGAGTGCCAGGGACCGGAGTGAAGTTGCTCCCACGCCATCTCACGCGCCGCCTCTGCAGCTCGAATGTCTCCGGCAGCGGCGCGTGTTGACATACTCACATAAGCATAACCACCTTCTTCCGATATGCTTTGAAGGAGGCTGTGTGCTTGGTCATCTAACACCGGAGTTCCGAAGACGTCGTCGCGGTGGTGGTTGGCCATTGGTGGTTGATTGAGGAGGAGAAGGTTCGGTTTTTAGAAAAAGGACGGAGAGAAAGAGAAGTTTCGTTTCACCGACTTTTTAATTCTCCACTAGTGAAGAAGAAGAGCATGACGTGTCCTCCTTAGATTTTGTTTTTCCTCTCCTAGTCCAGATATTATCTGAGATATTTTTCACTTTTTGCGTACGTGGCATTGGGCCTTTTTATGTTATTGGGTTGGGTACTCTAAATGGGCCCAGCTCTAACTTTGCTTATGGGCCTATCAGTTAATATCTTCCGGTTTCGCATTTTTCTTCAAGACGAACGTTTTCATATTGTTTATATTATTATTTTAATAACGTATTTCTTTTTGGAAGGCATGTATAATATAAACTTTTTTTATTAACCTGGATATCCAATCCGTTATGTGAGCCGACTAATCACATGACGATCACCTGCTTTGTAGATAGCCCGGAGTCACCGCATTTGAACCTCCGTGGCCACAAGAAAATTTTTATTCCTCCTTGGATTTGAACCTGAAACCTCCTGATACTTTTGACCTTTGGAGCCAAGCTCAAACCAATCAGTTACCACCTTTGTGGTTTGTATAATATAAACTTAAGAAAAGAGTAGACGGATTCGACAACGCATATAAATTAAGAGACAATAAAAGCACCGTACAAAAAGCAAAAGAAACGTTAGACAAAATGAAAGCATAAAAAAGTTGGAAGAAGGGTAAAATATTGCATACAAAAGGTCTGCTAAACTTGTTAGCATGAGCGGAAAGCTAGAAATGTGAGGAGCTGAATTTTAAAGACGAGACTCAAATGCACCTACGAACAGGGATTAAACACTTACGTTGTGTTCTCGAAACAATTTTTACGAAGGAAAAGAAAGGGGAGGGAAGTAAAAAACCCATGTTCTTGAAACTTTTTTAGAAAAGAAAGGAAAGAAAAGTGAAGGAAAATAATGATAAGTTTCTTAACAGATGTGGGAGAAAAGGGAAGGAAGGAAATGAAGAAAATTATAACTCTTTAAAAAATTATTAAAATGACAAAACTACCCAAGCTTTCCTTCTAAAGGATATATTTTTAAATGGTATATTGGTAAAAATGACATATTTCTTTTTCTTTCATTTATCTCATGTTCAAGAACATTAAAACCTATGTTCCTTCAATTCTCTATACGACAAAAATGTTTCCCAAGGATAGCCCAAGCTTCGACCGTTATTGGGGCTTAAGAGATTAAAGGTTGAATATCACTAGAGGTGGGGTCTGGGATGGCAGAGAGCAGAAGTTGGTCTTGTTGGAACCAGTGGGTAGCAGGAACAGATAGTGGGTCAGGTTTTTCGATGTCAATGTACGGTTGAAGGGCGTAACCTTTAAGGAGGGCTAGAAGGTGAGTTCGCTAGATGGGATAGTTCGAGGTTGTCAACGTGATCGCGAGATGATGATGAGTAGTGAGAGGGACGAGGGGCGGTGGCGGGTTTGGGGTGTTGTTTGTGACAGAGCTAGCATCATTGTAGGTGGGAGAGGAGTCGGTAGAAGACACAATGATAAGGGATAGACAACTCAAAAAGAAGAGGATCGAATCTTCTCGAGAGAGACAGGTTCTGATACCATATACGACATTGTATATAAGTCAACCAAAAATACCGTCTATCAGTACACTTCATAGGCAGTAGGAATGTAGGTCTGGTTCTCCAATGTGACGTTGTCTTAATCTCATTCTTTATTAAGTTAAAGAAATAGACATATAATGGTGACGATTTTTGGTTATTTAACTATTTTTGTAACCACTCAAATAACAAAACTTCTAACATAAATCAGTAGACAATAAAAATTATTAATCTTTTAACAAATAAATATGATGCTAATATTGTCTTCATATTTTGCATCATACCGTTTAAGTGCTTTACTTTTGAGTCTAAATAAAGAACCCACATATCAACCACACAAGTATGAGGTGTAAATTTACTTAAATTAATATAAAATGATATTTTTAAATAACTATCGACAAGTCGGGTTTAAGTGAGATAATCTTTTCGTTAGACCTTGAAACCACAAAATTATACTGAAATTACACAACAAAAACATTGTGAAGGTTTACCTTTACCGTATTTTGATGTGAATGTTTAGTTTTATTCATGTGATCTCATGGAAACAACATGGTCTCACATAGTCCCAAGTCGACTATCTATATGGGCATTCAGGTGTTCATTAATAGCAACGGACCACATATAATCAAATGTGGTATAGAATATAAAATCACACGTGATACAAACATGGGGCCATAGAATGGACGACAATTTCCCATGACCTTTGGTCATGTTGACCACGTCGTCAGTGTTCTTTTGAACATGTCTAGATTTAGTTTAACATTTCTAGACATCAAAATAGATTGAAGGTTAAGCGGTTACTGGATAATAATCACCACTCCAAAAAAACACTACACTGACGGCACCCATTGACAAATGGGTATAAAAAAACGATGCAAAATGAAAAACGACAATGACCATCCAGTTACCTGCAATAAGATGCCAAGATTTACGATAGTCGTGTCGCACGATGAGGCTATAATCGGCAATACATCTATTCTGCTACTTAAAGAAAATCATCCAAATAAAGGATGATTTCAAGAAACGAAGCTACAGACAGTAAACACCACCACATTCTAATGGTTTTGTTAGACAGAAAAGGGTAAAGAATCACAATTCTTTTTAAAAAATATTCACTTTCCCAGCTGAGACATTCATTTTACAGGCAAAATCACATGCAAACTGTCCAACATCATCGTTATTCCACCACCAAAATCGGCAAAAAGAAAAAGGGTTATATAACCTTAAAGTTCTTGAGGAGTAGGACGACGATTGATAATGCCATGGTTATCTTTGCATTATATATATATAAATATATTCCTCATACCTGCATCCAAGAACTATCATCATTAACTGGTTAAACAATATGAAAAGAAAATCTTGATACTATATAACTTACAATTAAACAACATTCTGAACATTTATGCTCCGAAGTACTGTATGAGGTCATCGTCAAGCAGAAAATCCAAATCTGGATCCAGTGAAGTCGTTGCATCGAGTCCAAGGTTGAAAGGACTATTGAACCCTGGATAATCTAGTGACAGGCTATTGATTGATGATTCAAACTGGTTGTCGACTGGTTGTTCATGATCGTTATGAAATCCACCTGGGATTGCATTCGAGTTCTCATCTCTATGCGGTTGTGACTCAGGGGCGTGGACTCCAGAATATTCTGGTCTGATTTGAAACTCGTGAACAGGCTGTTGTTCTTCGATTGGTGGCATATAGAGGCTGTAAGGAACTAGAGGATGCAATTCTGAGCTTTGAGGTCCATGGTGCACCCCAGCCACTTCATGTCCATTGGTTATGCCTAAACCTTGAGGTCTATATTCAGATTCTTGAACTGGTGGATACAGTAACATGTTCGGTGGAATCTGAACTTCGGTGCCATTGGTGGCCGCTAGTGGCCTCACGGCGGTTAATGGATGGTCTTCCGGTATGTTTTCTTGCATGGGGTAATCGACTAATGACACATCCGCTTGGTTTATATCAGGCAGCCCATCTACTAATTGCTCTTGAGAAGGCTTTGACTTCTCCCGTTTTCTCTTTTTCTCTGCCCGTGGTTGTGGTTGTTCTTTATCCGGGACCGGTGGTGGTGGATCACGAGAATGGCCAGATTGTTCGGCATCCTTTCGTGGTTGTCTTCTGTCATCTTTCGATGAGACTGAGGCGGCACCACCATCCTCAAATCCGTAAACATCATAATCACTATCATAGCTATTTGAAGGTCGATTTTTCTCAAGACAACCACCTGAAGGCGTCTCAGTGATTGCCGATCCACCATTGTCACCGCTTGACTGTAGAATCAGAGCTTCTTCACGGCTCAAAACCGCTAACCAAATTGAACTCTCTTTAGCGGTCATCTTATCTTGTAAACACTTTGATTGCCTAACCAGCCTTCTAATTTTAGCGATATTGGGAGACATATGTTTTATAACAGCAGTAAGAACCCCAACTTTCCACATCTTCTTCAAATCATGAGGCTTTTTATATGGGGGAGATTCGCCTTTCGGAAGCCTTAATCTGGTCCACCAATCTTCACCGCCGGTCGGCCACCAAGGTGGAGGCAGCCCCTTCTCTAACGGGAACTTTCTCTGTGGTGGATCACAGTGTTGCATCAAAGATGACAAAAGAGAGCCCAAGGTAGCATCTTGTAAATCTTGAAGAATGCTATTAGATCCCCCATTCTGAAGGCCAATTTGCCCTTTAGAAATGCATTCACTGTCATACTTGGCGATCGCTGCAGGCCCATTTTTGTCAAACTTAACCTTTTCTTTCCACCAAGCTCGTAAATTATCTGATGAACCACTTACGGGTTTACCCTTTTCGGGAATGATCCCATAAACGAAACCACGAGCTTTGCAGACTTCCATAAGCTTCAACATATATTTCAAAATCCCATCTTGAGCCCTTGACATCTTCTTCCTACGAGCCTGATCGCTAGTCTGCTTTGCCTTCTGCTTTCCTGCAGTTTGTTGTGCTAAAATCTTCTGTTTTTCTTTGATCCTCTTAAGCTTAATTCGATCCTTCCACATCCTCCTCTCCAAATCTTCGGCATCGATCTCTTCATCGCTTACATCTTTCTCTGCTATATTTTCACACCTTATATCATCACCTTCAATATCTGAACCATCCCCCAATCCATTCGTATCCATCACAAGATCATCCATTCCTATGAAGACCTAAAATTCCCAATAAAATCCCAAAAACCTGTAGAAACGATTCTCAGTCGACCGGTAATTTCATCGAACACCTAACATGCACTTTTACCTTCCAAATGGATCCCAATGAAATCAGAGTTACTCGAATCTTGAATCGAAACGGCTACTACTCAACCTAATAGATCGAAATGATCAATCATCAAAACTCCAATCTCATAATTCTGCACGAAACCATGTTCGCGTACATTCAAATTCTCATAAATTTAACACAAAAGACTCGAATTCAGTAGACTAATAATCAAATTGATTCAATAAAGTTCAATCTTTTCACCAGAAAAGCAAATTGAAATTAAGAAAACAACACTTTACAAGAAAGATAATCGAAATTGAAGACATGGGTCATGGGAAACACTTACCTGGCATCAGCTTTAAAATCTTTAAAGATGCATGGATGGATTCCTGAAACCCTAGTGGGGATGGAGAGAAAGAGAGAAAGAGGGGAGAAAATTGGGAAAAACGAAGCGACAAATATAATATTACCAAAATTAATAGAAGATGCGGAAGAGCATTTGCAAATTGGTGTGTTTTATGTATGCAACGTATCTGGAAGACAGATTTTAGGGGTCAAAAAGATAAGGATTTTTTTTGAAGAAATCAAGAACACATTTGCTTCTTCTTACAATCAAAATAAATTAAAACATTTAATTACGAATATAATTTAAAACTTTTAATTATTTATTTAAATATATTGAGTGAAGGGAATAATCCTGACATCTCCGACGTTTTTTTTTATGATTCTAAAAAATTACATTTAATACTAATTTTTATTTTATGGTTTTAATTATTTTATTAAAAAAGATTTATACATTTTATCTATACTATATTACAAAGCATTTGATAAAAACTCTTAAAAATTATTTTTTATGCATGAAGTATTGTATATTAATGTATATCACTTAAAATTTAATATTACAAGTAAATTATGCATAAGTACAACTTATTAAAACTTCATGTTTGAATTCGTGTAACTAATTACGGATAAACATAATCAAATTGATGATAAACATCTTATTTTAAAATATAAAAAATCTAATATATAATTAGGATAATTATCGAGTTATAACAAAATAATTAATTATTATCTTTATAAGAAAATTATATTATTAAACCAAATATAAATTATTTCGTTATTGAACCTAAATTAAATTATAATTAAAAAATTACATAAAAAATGAGAAATTTTAAATAGTTAATTTGATACTAATATTGATATATTTCTGACAAAATTTTATGATATTTTCAAATTTATATTTTATTGAAAAATAAAAACACCATCGTTTTTTCAAAATCATATAAGACCATATTATAACATCGACTGAGATAAAAAATGAAATGAAATATTAAAATCAAGATATATCTCGCTGTATTACGCAAATACCCTTTTAATATTCCTAAAATATTCTTATTAAATTGTATTTTATGTCCTGTGTTCATCTCTCTCTCCTACAAAATTAAATAAAAGTTACTTTCGTTGTCTTAAAATAAGTGTCGTTTAAAAATGTATAATTATTATATTTTTAATTAATCAAATACAGTTTCATCATTAATAAATTCAACCATAGTATAAATCATACAAACCATTTAATTAAGATATTTATAAAAATAACGAGAATTTATTTATTATGATTTAGGTATTCATATAAGGTTATCAAAATTCATTTATTATGATTCATTTTACATTATTAAACAAATGAGATATGGTTCAAACCATATATTCATTAGATTGAATGAACGATTGAGATTGGTTTGTATAATTTGTACTAATAATTGAGTTTGTAAATGAAAAGAAAAGTTTATAAAAACCCAATGAACTATTTCATTTTGAATGATTAAGTATTTGAACTATTTTCTTAAATGAAAAAATCATTAAAGATTAAGTCCCGGAACTATCTCTTTTTTAATGAAAAACTATTAAACTTCTCATTTTAAATGATTAAGCCCTTGAACATTTAAAAAAAAAAAAATAAACTGTCGAACTACAAATTTGGCTATTTACATCATTTTAACCCAAAAAACTACCTATAATTGAATAGAAAGATATTAAAGTAAAAAAAAACCTAAATCAATTTTATCATTCCTAAACCTTACGCCATTCAAACCCCACACAAACACTCCCCTCGCTACTCCTCTTCACCCCATCGTCGTCCTTCCATATCGTCTATCAGATTGTATGTCCTTACCATTGATCTCTTGCTTTTTTATTTGTTTTTTTTTTAATCTTTTGATTCGCCCTATTTTGAAAAGAGAGAGAGAAATGGATGACATAGGCCAACAACGTGATAGATGATATGAAGAATGAACAACGATGGGGCAAAGAGGGTGGTAACAAGGGGGAATGATACCGTTGTTTGCAAGGGGTATGAAGGCGTAAGATTTAGGAAATATAAAACAGATTTAAGTTTCTTTTTACTTTAAGACTTTTTTATTCAATTACAAGTTTTTTTTAAATATTCAGAGACTTAATTATTCAAAATAAAAAAGTTTAATAATTTTTTTTTAATTTCAAAAAATAATTTAAAAACATAATCATTCAAAACCAGATACTTACATTATTTTTCTAACTTTTCCCCAAGTAAAACCCCCTCTTCTTAATTAATGGACCAACATTTGACCATAAAACCTGAATTGAAAAATCAAAAAATGGACATTATGATAATTTTATAATTATATTATCATGTTTTATTTATTTCCTAAGTTTGACTTTAGAAATTAAAATTGCAATCTTTTGGACAAAAAAAGGTATGATATGGAAAGAATATTATGGGAGTGCCGACCTCAAAAGATAGATTCTCCTTCATCAAATTTTCAAATATATTTATATTCAATCATTTTCATAAAAGATATTTAACTAATAATTAAGAGCTAACATAAACAAACTGTAGACCAAAATCGTGGTCTAAATAAAATAGGAAACTAAGAAAATACACAATTAATACGATATATTCGTCAATCAATGCTGAATATTTTGTCAATTAATGAGAATATACGAGTGATCTCCCTTACAATTTTTGGAAACCAGGTTTACAAAAGTGTACATAAACATACAATAAGTATGCAATATTGTGAAAAAAATATTGCAGGTTAAAATAATTAACCGAATGAACTCAGTAAATCTCATACAAAGATGGGGGTCGAAGTGAGAACCATACGGTAAAGCTTCCTGGAGGTCAAATTTGAGATTTATAGTCTCGAAGTGAAGGTTTAAACCTTTTTTACCTTCACAAAGGCTCCTTGCTTCATTCCGGATTCCAGCATTGCATCCAGAACTGCAACATCTCGTGCACCTTCGACAAATGAGCTGCGAGGTTCGGCTTCAATCTTACTACCCTTCTGCATAAAAATTCACAAAATTGTACAATTTACAAACCGGTTATTTATAAACATTCAGTGAAAATGCAGTGTTTATAAACAACCATGTTTCTTTCCATTTGGTTCGAAAAATTCGATTAAAATAAATGCAACATTTCTATTTTGTAGGCAACTTTGTTGGGTAGTTATCATCACCCGATACTCATAACATTTGATTTTATTCACATAGCTCCTTTGTTTTTATCATTATTGAGGGATAGTTTGGACATTTAACTAAATTTGAACACTTCCATATTTTACAAGCGATAGAGGGTGTGATGCCCAATTCAGCCCAGTATATAAATAAAAGAGTTTCTCATAAGAGCATTAAATGTCGAATAAGTGTTCTACTAATCCCCTTGAAGATAACAGTCAGGAAAATCTCCAGTGGCCCGACTAAAATGGCTACATGGTTGCACATATTTGGGTACTTTCAGGTGGCCAAGTTAAGCTAAGTAATTGGAGCTAGCCAGATTGAAGTAATTTGTTTGGCTATGTAGGGAACTTCCAACTAGCAAATGCATAGGTTATATAAGCAGAAAATATGACTTATGAGATGCCTAATTGAAGAAATGGTAAGAAAGGTATAATGGTATTTGAGACGTATACTACCTGAAGACTGGCCCTTGAGATGTCACTTAGAAAAGCCTTTAGTTCTTCAGTCACCCCACTAAATGGATAGAAAGTGCTCTTTGTTTCCCCATTAGCAGTAAAGAGAGTAGCCTGTACAATAGCATCTACATGTCAAAAAGCAGTATGTGCAAAGTTCAATTCGTTAGGGGGGGGGGGGGGGTTGATTGATCTCTTGACACCACCACAGGTGAGATATACCGGGTTCGTTCGGTTTTTTTTAATAATTTATCTCCCAATGGAAAAAGCAAAAAGACTTTTTTCTAGGATCATGCTTCCATTACAAAGGATGAGATAATTCTGCATTACCACATAACCATGTCGTCCATCTTTGTTTCCTCGTTCAACTTGCACCGTCCCACTCAAGCCAACAACTCTCCACACAATCTGTAGTAGCTATCCCAACATTAATCAGAGTTCACAAATTAATAGGTAACAAAATCTGGAAGCATATAAAAGTTATAACCTTTGGTGATTTTGATGATACCAACATTACAAACACTCCTGAACACCCATTCTCCAATTGACTAGAGATGCAAGAAAGAAAAACATGTCACTTTCAGAATCTAACTTTCAAGAAAAAGTGGAAATGGTAAGAAAGGTAGGTGGTATAGGTGGTAAGTGTTAGTTTACAATAGAGAAGAAATGGTATCTGGTGGAGGCAGGGTCATATCCACATGAGATGTCATAGCCGAAACTGAAGCTACCTCGCATCCAACAAGCTGTTTGAGTAGGCAGGAATTGGGGTTAGTATATTTTGTCTCATGGGATATCTCGTGCACCTTTTATTCTATTTTACTTGCTCCTGTAACCATTTGAAGGCCATATTAGTGAAATTCGAGCTATATTGCTGCCACTTGATGTTCAAGTTCCTTCTTTGGCTCTTCTCCAATTACATGTACGACTCCAGTGATTTACTAGGTCTTTGGAATGTGATGGTATTAACTATGGTTAGGACTGGCCGGTTCACCAAATATGTCATATGCAAATATCAACTTCTTCATGAAGGTGAAAAAGGTGGAAATAGAAGGGGAAAAATGAGAAACTTACCATTCTTAACCCTGCAATGAAATGTACACCCATATCTAGGATGAACCCTCCCTGCCACATATGCAGTAAGAGAGAGAGAGAGAGAGAGAGAGAATTAGCATTCCATAAAATTTATAATTGGCTGAATGAAGATAGTGTCATTGGCAAAACATGATGTTCCATCGATATCAAATTTGTACATGCATCTTTATGATCAATAATCCTCCTATTAACTATAATTTGAATGCTTTATCATCATATGTACCAATTACGGCCCAATAGCTGATGGAAAGTTGCATTTGATTTCACAAGACATGGCCTTTCTGTAGGCTTTACAAAATGCTTAAAGCATTACCCACTTTCTCCACATCCATCAAAAACTACGCACTATGTTATAAACAATAAAAGCACCTCCTAAGAACCAAGTACACAAGAAAACTACCCCATATTGCATAACTTCTTAAAATATGAAATTGACAAAACAGAAAGAAGCATTCCATCAAGCTTAACCATGTAACTATTTACTTAGTTAAAGGATGTGTAGCCTTTCCAAATAAAGTTGCTACTTATCATGGTTGCTATGTCTTACAGTGAAATTGCGCCTCCACGAACTTGAGAAGTAAGGATTTGAACTGTTCATAGACCCTTCAACGATTACTTGGACGCTCATCATATCTCCAATTTCAGGCATCAATTTTCTGCTCTGAGAAGTGGACAGCAATTTATCTTGTAAGATCTCTGTAGTATAAATAAAAACCAAATGTGCAAGATGTAAGTACCTCTACAAAGGCAGGCTCAAACCGGTAATTTTCTGCAACAGCCCATATTGATTGAGCAGATGGATTGTTGTAAAGAGAAGTATGGCATGATAATGCAGTTTCCACCTCACTGATGGCTGAAGAGGAAATCGTGAAGCATTGAGGACTAATATTACAACCATAGAAATACCATCCACAACAGAATAAACTTGTGGACTATAAATGTGCATATGACATCTATTCCAATCAGACATACAACAACATATCAGCAGCATCTTTTTTACTCTTTCTTCAATAGAACCAAATTTTCAGAAACAGGATCTCACTTACAAGCAGCAGCTGGTTTCTCTTCAGAGCCACAAGCCAGTGAAGAAATATATAAGGAAGCAAAAGAATGAGAGATGTCAGTTAATTGCATGAACAAATGAACAGAAACAAGTACAGCACATTTTCATTTTACTGCTTCATAAAATAAAATGATCTTATCCTGCCAAATTTAATTCCAAATTATCAGTCTGCAGCCCTTGCCTGAATTTCAGAGTAGGATTACCTTGAAGAACATGCTTTCCTTCCTTCAAAAGCTTTAGCGACATATCCACCTGCATAACATGGTATGCATGCAAAGATCAACACCAAGTTCAAGTACTTTAGACGAAGATGCTGAAGTTCTATATAATATACATACAAATGAAGTTTTAGATGATGGATATAATACAATGTGCACACTTCATCATCATTTATTCAGTTCCATCTATTTGCTTCATCATATAAGAGAATTTGCCTGGAGATCCCAGGTTCAAATCCAAGAAGGAACAAAAATCCCCTTGCCACGGAGGTTCAAATGCGGTGACTCCGGGCTACCTGCAAAGCAGGTGGTTGCCCTGGGATTAGTCGGCTCGCATAGCGGGTTGAATATCCAGGTTAATCAAAAAAGAAGAAGAGAATTTGCCTCATACACATTTTCAGATGTCCATATAACTTGATATGCATATTTTCGCAGTTACTGAAGGCAAAAGAATCACAGATGATTTCGAGTTGCAGTCTTATCCTAAGGTTTCAGAATAAATTAAGATGTCCATAAACAGATGGGTCTGGCTGCAAGTTATAAGTTCAGAAGGGAAGAAGGGAAATCAGTTTTGGCTTATGAATTTCAAGGTTCAACTTTATGTATGCTAATTAGGGAACATACACGTACTTGTCTTCTATGTTAAAGTAATTATATTTGTTCAAACACTCAAAATCTACGTTAAATCCCGCCAGGTGCACTATGCGACTTTGAAGGGGATTTGGTAGTCATATGAGATCCGCATCTTGAGCCATATGCGACTGGTTAAGTGATTTGGGATGCCACATGAAATTAAATGTTGCTTAGGATGTACCAAGAGTTGTTCGTAAAATTTTGAGCGACTTGTGAAGTCGCACGAGAAGTCACTTCTGATGCACCGTAAGTTGCTTCTCTATGTATGCAAGTTTCGAGATGAAAACCGTGTTGCATCATAAATCACACCACTAATGAAGTTAATTCATATTTAACTATAAATGTTCTTTAACCTTTTCTAATAGCAATAGGAGATCAAAAATCCTAGGAACATATAATGGTGAAAGGTGAGCTCTGCATAAGCCTTTTTACTGAATTCCCTTCCTGTGCCATGATTAGAGTTCCCTTTTGTTTTTCTAATATTCAAAAAGGCACTTACCAAATTAAATAATTGAGATTAAATGTTCTCAATTCCCTAGCTCCAACACTTATATACTGTTAATACTCCTTTTTCTTGTGTAATACAGTCACCGATTTTCCATTATAACCAAAACAACTCATCTCGATTTTGAAGTTAAAATGTAACTCAAAAGTGGAAGTGGAACTCTAGCTATGGGTGGAGACCGGAGGGAGTGTACGAGTTTAGATAGTATTACTATAACAAACAGTACACAAACACATTAGATAGACACGTAATCGAAACAACAGATGATCCACTGACTGCGGGTGGGAAATACTACCATGAAATTATAACTAAAACAGGCTTAAGGCCCATTACTCACATTTTTTTCCAGTCGATTGATATGCCTGCATTCTCCAAAAACACACACATAGATCCACAGAAACGAACCTGAATTTGACCAGCAAGAGCAACAATAACCCCCACAATGTTCGAATCGCCAATTATTTCATCAAGGCCGTCGTCTCCCCACTTACACTCCACATTAGGAAATACTTTTCGCGCAATATCAGCAGCCTCCCTTGATGATTTCTACATAAAAAAATTGAATGATCATGGTCAATCAGACCACCAATAAAGTAGCTGTGAAAATCTTATTCGCTTATAATAAGTACCTCGGAGCGGCTCCAGATAGCTTTGAGAACGACGATCTCCGAGATCTCGGCGAGCCTGGGAAGGTATTGAGATTTTACGAAGATTCCAGCACCTATAATGGCGATCTGAGGAGACGCTTGAGCCATAATTGATAGAGTTCTACTGAATACTGATGCTAGCCTTTACTTGATCTCTGTGTTCAGATACTGGAGAATATTTGTTGATTTTTTATCCATGGAAGATGGAGAACAAGATCGATTGCACTGCACCTGGTTTGATTTCAATAAATTGGGCCTATTCAGATTTGGGCGGCCTAAATTATCTTTAAGTGGGCCTAGACCCCAAAAAGCATTGCACTGCAAAAGTGCAAAGCAGTGATGGTCATAAATCGGTCCCGGTCGAAAATGATAAGACTGGTCAAGGTTTTTCATAACCGGTTATGCCGGTTCCGACATTAAAAAAAAAAATTTAATTTTTTTTAATGATATATATTTTTAATACATTACAAAATTTGTAATTGGGTCATTCAAATACATGTTAAAATGTGTTTTAATATAGTTAAAATTACATTTGTCATACAAAAATACATCATAAAATTATTTGAAATTACATTTATTGATAAAATTATTTGAATTTTCGGGCTGGGCTGATCCATAGCTGGTCCCGATCCCACGAAACTGCCAAAAACCCCAACCGATCCTGGTTTTCGATCCCATAACCCGTCCTCACTGGTCCCTGTCTGGTCCTTTGCCGGTCCCAGTCCCGGTCCTCCGGCGGTCCCGGGCCGGGTCGGACCGATTTGGCCATCACTACTGCAAAGTGCAAACCAGGTTTACTAATTAGTAATATATCTCAGACCGCTCACAAGTTACAATTGGACCGGTTACAACTTACAAGTGTGCTTGAATCGGTTTGTATCGGGACCAATTAGATCTAAAGAGGTTCGTTTTCTTAATGATTATTATATATTAACCTTTTCTTTTTAAATATTATTGTAGTCACATTTTCAAATGCAACCAACTCAAAAGGTACAACCAATACAACTCAATCTAGGTAGTCCTTTCTTTTGATCAAGCGGTTGAGAAATTTATAGTTTCCATACTTTTCTCCAATTATCTCCATTACTATCTTCAAATGCAACCAACTCAAAAGGTACAACCAATGCAACTCAATCTAAGAAGTCCTTTCTTTTGATCAAATGGTTGACAAATTTCTAAGTTTTCATATTTTTCTCCCAATTATATCCATTACTTTCTCACACTCTCTCCGGTAAACCGTAGGCACCCCACAGCTTCATCCCCGGTAAACCCACAGCTTCATTCCCGACAAACCCACAACAAACTCCATGGTCAGTAACCAACCTCTCCTTGATCTGTTGCACTTCCCAACCACCGACCACCTCCATCCCTGAGTTCGTTGGGTTTCCGAACTCGTCCCTGAGATCATCCCCGAACCACATCGGAAGCTTTCATCCTTAAGATCGTGACTTCGTTCGTAAAAATCGAACCAAATCCTAAACCATAACGTAAGTTTTTCAGGTGGGAACTCCAGTGAGTTTCCATTGATTGGAGGCGATCAAGTGATGAAGAAGCAGATAAATCATGTTCGAGCAGAGAAGCAGAAGAATCTATGGAAGAAGATAAACAAAACAGTGAGTTTTTCCAGTCGGAACTCCGGTGAATTTTTGTATGAATTTTTTATACACAGATCATTTTTGTATCTGGTTTCATATATATAAAAAATGATGAATTTCTGTATATGGATATATGAAATTTTCATATATGAATCATTTTTCTTTATAGTTTCGTATATGAAAAGTGATGAAGTTTTATATATGGATCAATTTTGTATATGGATTTTTCATATATGGATCACTTTGTATATGGTTTCATATATGAAAAAAGTGGTGAATTATTTTTAAATGGTTGTGAAATTTTATTAATGGTTATGAACTGTTATAATATTACAATTATGGATTTTTATGATAATTGAATTATGAATGGTTCATTTATTAAGAAATTAATATTTTTTATAAAAAAAATTGAATTATTCCTAAAAATACGGAATCGGTTACATATGGTAATTGTATAAGATATTTAAAAAATTAATAATTTTTTTTAAAAACAAATCCAAATTATTTCTAAAAATACGAATTTTATAGAAAGACCTAAATACCTTTGGTTGTAACGGTTACAACTTTCGGAATCAACGACAAATGAGGGGAGAAGTCCGTTGTGAGATTGAGTCGGAGTTCTGGTGAGTTTATATCAGTTTTGAGGTATTTTTAATGTTTAGTTTAATGTTCTTTAACAGTTAAGTATATGAGTCGTGACAACGGTCCGGTAGAAATTTCTAGGAATCTTCAGTATTGAGTTTAATAGTTCGAATTAAATGATATATCTAATGCCAACTGATATGATTATAGGGGAGGTAATGCCAAAAATTATAATATGAAAATGGTTTGAAAATGAGCCAATTTGGCCCCCAAACATGTTGTCATTTGTCACTAGTAATGGTCGAGAAAAGGTAAACCGTGGCTAGAAAGACTTCCGAGGCATTTCTTATTTTAAAATGTTTAAGACGGTTGCATGTTTAAAATTAGTATTTTGACAAGACATATTGACTTTTATCTTTTGAATATTTAACTGTAGATAAAACTTGAATAAACTATTTTATAAATGTTAAACAGTGACAACCTCATAGATTACAACTTGCAACATCTATAATTTCACATTCTTTCCATTGCATGCGTACACTTGTACATTTTAAAATAGGAAAAGTTCAAAAAAAAAAACCCAATAAACTATCTTATTTTGAATAATTAAGTCGTTAAACTGTTTTTTTTTTAATAAAAAAATTGTCAAACTTTTTCGTTTTCAATGATTAAATCTTCGAACTATTTTTTTTGTATAATAAAACCATTAAGCGATATGGAGAACAAACAAGGTTGGGGCAACTGAGAGCGGCAAGGGGGAGCGATACCGTTGTTTGCGAAGGGTTTTAATGGTGCATGGTTTGGAAATGGTGAAACTGATTTAGGTTTGTTTTGTACTTTAAAACCTTTCTAGTAAGTTAAATGTAGCTTTTAAAAAAAATGTAGGTAACAGATTTTAGAAGTTCGATGGTTTATTTAATCAAAATAAATGTTTAGGGATTTGATTATTCAAAATGAGAAAGTTTAATGTTTTTTCATAAAAAAAAATAGTTTAAGGACTTAATCATTTAAAATAAAAAAATTTAATGGTTTATTCATTCAATAAAATAGTTCAGGGACTTAATCATCCAAAATTGGATAATTCGTTGAGTTTTTCTGAGCTTTTCCCACATATATTTTTAAAAAGATAAAACTTATTATAAATGTCTATTTTTCGTATCAATTTTACTTAATACACAAAATTTTCCAGCTTACTTGACATCAATAGATTTTTTGTTGGGAGATTTTTTTTAATGATAATTTAAAAATTGACATCTGCGTTATCAATAGTTATAAGATTTACCGATTTCCAGTAAAAAATGTATATAAAATAAGAAGAATTGAACGTTTATTGTACTAATTGAAAAAGAAAGCATTGCATGGTATAAGAACCAAAGCAAATTCCATTACATATTTGTGTTCTCTTAAAAACATAACAAAATTGTATGAAAATGCAATTATTTTGTTTAACATACCTACAATTTATTTTGGTATCTCACATGTGACATCTCAAGCATTAATATACTTTATTTACATATAAGAATGCATGAAAATGCAACGTACTTTGATAGACTCCTATTTATATAACATACTTTTCGTTTAATAAATTATAAATCTCTAAAATATCACATATGAAATACCAAATTTAAGATTTTAAAAATAACATTACATAAAACAAACAAAATATATTAACAATTTTATACAATTTATCGAATAAAACGTAACATATTTCTATTATACAAATGGTTTATGTAAGACATTTTTTTTTTCACGACGAATAATTAAAAGATTATTATATTGTAAAATGTCATTAAAAAAATTGACTTATCATTTTTATAACTATATCCTATAAATTATGATTGATTTTTATGACAATAAACTTTTCAAAATGTGACTTCTTTAACAATAAATTATAATAAAAGTAATTTATGTGATCAAATTACTAATCAATTAATAATAGATGTTCTAGTTTGAAAGTTCGTATATAAATTATTATTCAATTATTAATATATACTAGAAGAGTACTCGCGCAATGCAGCGAGACACATCTTAATTTTAATGTTCTATTTTATT